TTAGGCTCTCTCTCCACAGCCAGCAGCAAGAGTGCGCTCAGCTTTACGGACATTTACATCGATCCATTTGCCGTGGGTGAATCGCCCATCGATGTGGTGGATCTGCAGCGGCGATCGCAGCGACTATTCCAGCAGCACCAGCGCTTGCCGCCCGTGCACCCAGCCGTGCAGCTGCAGCAGCAGCATCAGCTCCAGCAGCAGACGCAGCCGCAGCCCGCCTCGGAGGTGTCGCTGTCGCCGCGCAGCAGCCTCTCCATAGAAACGCCACCCGCCTCGCCTATGAAGTACAATGCGATCGCCGATCAGCCGCAGGCGCAGGCGCAGGCGGCGCTGAAAGAGGAGCCCACCTATGCCAATGCGATGCCTGCACCACCCGCCTACACAGCTCCACCAAGTGTGCCCATGGCCTTGGCTGCTGTACGCACCCATCCGTACGATCTGGACTCCACGGTGCTCGACTGCATGATGCTGGAGGCGAAGCTGCAGAAGCTCAACCTCTCCTCACCGCTCAACCTGAACGGACCGCTGTCCCCCATCTCAGAGAAACCCTCGCTGCTGGATCTGCCACAAGAGATGCTCAGCCGCTCCTCCTCCACCTCGAATACGCGCTCTGTTTCGGCAGCCGTAAGCAACGAATCTGTGGCCGGTGATTCCGGTGTCTTTGAAGCATCCCGTGCGCATCTGCCGCGCAAGGAACTGGCCCAGGTCCAGATCGGCCTGAAGTATCTGAAACAGGAAGGCGTGCTCGTTGTCTCCCTGGAGCGTGCCAACAATTTGTCAGCGCTGTGGACAGCGACCACGGACAACTCGCAAGTGTAAGTACAATGCCTGATATGATAGATGCAGTTGCTCATTTTGGCTTTGCCATTGCAGGTATTTACGCGCCGCTTTGCTGCCCAATTCGCTGACATCCATACGCACGAAGGCGCTAGGTGACTTCCAAAAGCCCGTGTTCAACGACACATTCGCAGTGCCCATCTCGTTAGACAAGCTGCTGACCAAGAGCCTGCAGGTGACCGTGGTCACCATGACGGGCCAAAAGGAGGAGATTATTGTAAGTTCCATCTGCTCTGCTACTTGCAAAATAAACTCTAATCATTGTGATAATTTTCTTCTTGCAGGGCACTGTGCAGATCAGCATGGCCGAGTTCAATCCGGATGATTCCACGCTGAAGTGGTACAACGTGCTCAGTTCCAAATTTATACCGACTTTTGAGTCTCTGGACTTGCCCTCCACAAGCGCTGCGGCAGCAGCTGCCGCCGTTGCCGCAAGCAACAAYATCATCAACAACAACAACAATAACAATAACAACAACAGCAACATAAGAGAGGAATCCTCGGATGAGTCCACAATTACTTCATCACAGACCTCAACGCTCACGCGCAATCAGGCGCCGCCATTGGAGCTGCAAGCTCAGATAGCCGAAGAGTTGCCCGAACATGTGCGACTCAATGAGCAGCAGTGCAGCGACGATGACGACGATGACGATGAGGAGGAGGATGAGCAGCAGCTGGTCGGCACTCTCGGCCTTACGCACTGTAAGTCGGAAACTATTTAAATGCTAATGCTCTTAACTAATTCGTATTTGAAACTGTTTCTATAGCTGGATGCATGCTGAACGCCTATCTGGAGAACATGAAGCAGGAGTATGCCGACAAGGAGACTAACACGGATTGCGCCTTCCCGCCGGAGAAGCTGCGCAACCAGACACAGCTGCTGGACGACAGGCCTGTGAAGCGTTCGCAGACATTTACGCCCTCGGCGGCAGTCAGCAAGAATCGCTATAACTGCCGGCTCAACCGCAGCGACTCCGACTCGGCCATGCACTTTGGTGTTACGCCCCACACCTTCCATCGCGGCGCCGTGGAGCGACGCTCCCTGCGCTTCCAGCCAAAGGCGACCAAGTCAGTCACAAGTGAGTACATCCGAAAAACCTGCTCGCAACTTGAATATAACTAAACCATGTCTGTTCTCCCTTAGAACTGCATCATACTCACATACCACGCACCAGCTTGGACTTGGAGCTGGATCTGCAGGCACAGCACAGCAAGCTGTACTTTCTCAACGATCAAATCTCCAAGTTGCAGAACCTCAAGGAAGTGTAAGTATACTCAGAAATCTAGTCTATATGCCCTTCGTGTGCTTATCAGTGTGCCATTTGCTTATAGACTTCAGAAGGCCTGTGATAACAAGGACCCGCTGATTGCGGCCTGGGCCATTGAGAATGAAGAATTCCAGCGTCTGGTGGCACGTGCCGATCCCACCAAGTGCCCCGAGGAGCGTTTGCTGCAGAAGCTGCTCATGAAGACCACCAAAGAAATTCACAAGCTACGCAAGACCAAGGTGCCCAAAGGCTGCCCCGATTTGGTCTCCTTCAAGTAAGTTCACTATATAGACCTGGCAAGAGCCCCTCCAGTTGCTAACAGTTTTCTTTCTACTTTGCAGAGAGAAAATGTTCTTCTTCACGCGCAAGGGCATGTCTGTGCCTGAGCTACCCAATGATTTCTTGCTGCCCGATGCGCAGGCCATCGAGGAGGAGGAGGARGACGACGATGAGGATAATGTGGCTGAGACAGCCATTGCCATCAATACGGCTCTGGTGGCCAGCAGCAATAGGAATAAGAATCTCAGTGAGCATCACCATCGATCAACAGGCGGTGCAGTGTCTAAGCTGCCTGCCACGCCCACTCCAGCCATTAACCCAGCCCCTGTTACAACACCCGTCCCAGCAACGTCCAATGCCAACGAGGCCAACGGCGAGCAGCAGCGCTACGACTACGTCGTCGACCGCAACTACGGCGTCGAGGTGTAGTTCCCACAAGGAGACTGGGAGACTGGGATCCCTTCCCACCTGAGCTGTATATTTTTGTAATTATTTTTGGTATTTATTTGCATTAAGCGAAAAGTATTTATGTGTATAAAAGAGAAACTAGATGAAACTGATGTAACAAATATCTGTGCCTTATAGAGAAAGAGTTGGAGCAGACCAACGACAACAACCACAACCATGCCAACAACAACAGCAACAAGAAACATGCAAGAAATGATATAATTATTTGTAACTGCATAGAACTAACTAGCCTTAAATGCATATATCGATATATAGTAGTATTAGTGTAGACCCATAGTCAGTTTGAGCTAATTGACCTTCCCCCACCACCAGCCACATCCCCCACACAAACTGACCCTGTATGAAAAGAGCAAAGAAACGCCCCGACCCGCCCCTTTTAAAGCGCGCACATTGCGCGCTAAGAAACTTTCAAATTCATATTGAAAACCAACTGTATTCTTAAGACTTGAGCAAATTATACGAATGAAGAGGAATATTTTTATACAACACACATATATATATATTTATATATGTATACATAATACAAAAAGTATATATAGAGACTATTGATACATTTTAAATTAATTTAGTGCAAACACCAACAAACAACCAATACAACTAAAAATGAAAAGAAAAAAATATTTATTACATACATACGTATACATATATAGACACGGATGAGTGCATATTACTCCAATCTGTTAGTTTAATTAGCTTGCGTTTTTGTTAAGCTCAAAACGAATTCTACTATTTTTTTTATAAAAAAAAAACCTATGAAAAAAAAAAACAACACAAACACAAAAAAAAGTCCATGTACCATATTAGTTAAACGCTATATGCCACTCAGAGGCATATAGCACAGCTAAGAACGCACCCTAACAAAAGAAATGAATTATTTTATTAAGCAAGCCTGTTGAAATTGTTAAACTATTGCCCTGGAGCTATGAATTTGATGCGAAAATCAAAACAAAACAATAATAAAAATGTAACAAAAGAAAGTGTATGAAGAAGAACTAAACTATTAAGTTATGTGTAATTTTAGTTTAATATTAGTTTCTGCTTTCTCAGCTCTTTGTAAGCATCGCTGTTGTTTTGTTAAAACTAACCGCAACCCGACCCCGCCCCTTTCCTCGTCCTTCAAACTCAGTAATAGAAATAACGGAAAGAGAGCCCCACATATTTTATATATATATATATATATATATATACGTAAGTAACTTAGCTATAATAAATTATATGAATGAGAACATGTATATTGTAATTGTGCAATAAACAAAAAAGAATTCTACTGACATACTTGAAAATAACACGTTTTATTTATTGCATTCATATGGAATATTGCTCGCTGTGTAATAATTAGCTGTTTGATAGATGTACCATATTGTATCTAAGATTTGTCTTAATGGGGAAACTAACTTCAAATATCAGCTGTATATCCTTTGCAATGCTTTAATTAGCTGCCTAAAAGTGTGCTAGTTTTATAGCTGATGTTGACGTACTAAAGCGCCATCTGGAATATAAGTAAGTAATATGGAAATGATGCCTGAAATCAATAACAAACAAGTATTGAATTTACTTAAATATTTTTAGCTTGTGGTATAAGTGAATATACCAATATAGTCTCGTTACGATTATACAATACTGAAATATTTTAAAAATATATATATTTAGATTTATGCTGAAAATATCTCTAGCAAATCCCTGCAGACGCGGTTTGTGAAGCGATTTTTTTGTCTTGAACGAAATGAAAATTATTTATATTATTCAATAAGCATAAGAAAAAAATGTCTGTCAAATGAGAATTTATTACATATGGCAGCCCGAGAGTACGCAATATTTCATGAAGCTACCCCTGATTATAAGAAAGCGCTCTCTCGGAACAAGATAAAAGATTATAGAAATGCAGCCTGAAGGTATGCATAACTATATTTATTTGTTATTTTTAATGTTAATGTAACGCTAAACGATTTCAAATTCTTGGTGTAGCTGGGGAAATATATGACCTTAATATACCTAGACAGAAATTCCATTAGTAATATAAAAGTAATTGTTATAGATCGAACAATAGTTAATTCCATTTTTCGGAATGCCGCATTTCGTTTGCTTCAAACACGCATTTAAATTGTTTATAAACTTTTATTTTTAGATCAATTAGTGAGTATGTTTGTTGTACTTTATCATAAACTTTATTCACATAAAAATAAATAATTATTACATTTCGATATTTAAGATTTAACCAAGCAGCGCTCAAAATTGCCACGTCTGCCACAGCACATCCTGTTCAGAGTCTCCTGCTTCTGCGATAGTCCTTGCTTGAGTATTCATTATCATAATGCTTAGCTTTAGTGTGCGTATTTACAAAAATGTTGCAAGAAGAAGAGCTTAATTAACGGGTAAATGTGAAACGGCAGASCTCCGGCTAAGGATTGGATTGGATTCGTGATAATGTTTGTTTGGATGTGCAATTTGGTGGAATGGAATTGATTCACAGTAGACGGAGTTGGTGCTTGGTGGTGTTGGTGGTGCTGGTGATATTGGTGGCGCTCAAAAAGCGCCATTGTAGTGCAGGTTTTGTGATGCAAATTGCGGTATGCCATGGTTGAGAGCTAAAACTTTACTAATTACTTTCAATTCTTCGAAATTTCTTAAGCTATTGAAGGGACTTAACTGATTGCTAGGCCTAATTAGTCTAGAATTGGTATTACCTGAGCTTACGCTTGGCGTGCCTGCGGCTCCTCCTCCAGATGCAGCACCAGCTGCTGCTGTTGTTGCTGTCGCTGACTTGGACTGCTGCTGCAACAGTTGCTGCTGGAGGTACTGCTGTGCGTTCTGCTGCAACTGGCTGCTCAGCTGCGGCGTCAAGTGTTGTCGATAGAAATTCTGATTATCCAAATTGCTCTGCTGGCTCACAATGGTGGTCCCGAAGGAGTTGCTTGGCTGGATCTCGACATTTTCACTGTTCAGACCAAAGTTTCCAGTGCCTGTTTCCTGCCGAAAGAGACGTGCGCGATGCTGCTGCAGCTGCTGCTGTTGCTGCTGTTGCTGAAAGACCGCATTGCTTACATAGCTGGGCAGCAGCAATGGTTGCTGCTGCAGTTGCTGCTGCTGCGCTTGCTGTTGCTGTTGCTGAAACGGTTGGTAATTATTCTGAGGCGGGGCCTGCAAGATAGACGCCTCCGCAGGCGCAAAGTTGAACTGATTTGAGGTTTGTAGCTGTAAATGATTGTTGTTATTGTTGTTGTTGCTGCTGCTGCTGGTGCTGCCGGCAATGCTATTGGGACTTTGGCTATTGCTGACAGCATGTTCCGCTGTTTTTTGCAAATTTTGCAAATTTTGGAAAATTTGTTGCACTGCATTCGTTGCCGTTGGTAATTTCTGGTAGTTGTTGTTGTTGTTGTTGTTGTTGCTGCTGTGCAGGGCAAATTTATGAGCCGCAACGGTATCTCGCAGCGGCAATTGCTGCTCAATTGGATATGTGGGATAGATAATGGTCTTCGTATGTGTGCTGGGTAGAAATTCGACCGAAGGTCTGATGGAGTAACCAGGCGAAGGTGGCTGCAGCGTTTGTATTGCCTCCAGTGAGGCATGTTGCTGCTGCAACTGCAACTGCTGCTGTTGTTGGTATTGTTGTTGTTGTTGGAGCTGTTGCTGCAGTTGCTGTTGTTGCTGTTGCTGCAGCAGCGGCTGCAACGTGCTCGATTGTGCAAGCGGCGCAGCTTGATAACGACTTTGGCTCTGCTCCTCGAGCAGCTTCAGTTGCCGCAGGATTAGCGCCTGCTGCTGCTGTGCCTGCAGCTTCAGCTGATAGATTTGCTGCTCGAGAGCGCGCTGCCGCTCAATGATGTAGTTATTGACGCTGGGCGGTACGGGTGCCGTCACACTAGAGCTGGCCAGCGGCTCCTAAATGGGAATAACAAGACCGCATTAGCTTAATGTCACCTACTCAATGGCGAGCTTACCTTAATGTAGTTGCTGTTGGTGTTGCTGCTGCTGCTGGTGAGAAAGGCGGGCGTTGTGGAGAAGCCAACGTGCTGGAGGTTCGTCTGAGTGGTGCTCGTGCTGCTGATGATCGCGGGACTCTGTGTCGTCAGCGGTGCTGGCGGCAGCTCCGACTCCAGCACATTCAACTTGGTAATGGTGGGCCCAACGTGTGGCACCAGCAACTGTTGTTGCTGTAGCCTTGGCTGCTGCAGCTGTGGCAGCTGCTCGCCCTGCAGCAGCGGACGAAACTTTTGCGCTGTGCCTCGCTCATCCAGGTCGACAGTGAAAGCGGTGACCAGTGGCGCCTCCTGTATGCGGATATCCTGTTTGTCCACCAGCTCGATGTTCTCGCCATCCTCGTTATGGGTGGGTCGTGGCGTGGTCGTTGTGGTGGTGGTTGTGGTGCTGGTCGTGCGACGTCTGGTGGTGCGTGGTCGCGGTGTTGTCGTCGTGGTCGTTGTGGCCGCCGTTGTTGTTGTTGTTGTTGTCGTCTCCTTTTTCACGTTGCGAATCTCGAACTTGATCTCGTTGCTGCCATCGTGCGCTATCTCATTGCTGCCCACCGTGGAGTCCACGCTGCGTGTTATCTGACGCGAGTCTGGGCCCACATCCGAGCCAACGGAGAGTGGAGAGGGCGTGGCGCTCTGCTTGCGCAGCGTAGTCTTCTTCCACAGCTTGGAGCGATCGATGAAGGAGGAGAGCAACTGCTCCTGGGCATTGCGCTCGTCAAAGGTCGCCGTATAGAACTGCACGGTGGGCACCACAGCATCCGAGGAACTGGTGCTCTCCTCCAGAATCTCTTCGCGCTCACGTGGAGCAGCCAGTGTGGTGCTTGGCGTCGCGATCCCAGCTGTGGGTGATGTCGATGCCTTTGCCGATGCCGATGCCGACGCCGACGCCTCCTCGCGCTCCAGCTTGTCTATGGCGCGCAACAGCGCCAGACGCACCGAATAGTCCAGCTTCTGTATGGCCTCTCGCGGTATAATCTCGTTGCTCTCAGTGCTGACATTCTCAGCCTCCGATGCCGCCTCATCCGCCACCGGAACGCCGCTGCCGGCTGCCAACTGGAGCGTGAGTGCAGCGAGCAGCAGCAGCAGCAGCAACGCCCAGGGCAGCGTGTTGAAATGTCTCTGCGAATGGGATAAGAGGCAGACTGAGGATTAACTCAAGCAATTATGCTAATTAGCCTTAGGGCCATGTAATGCAGGAGGCATTTACTTGATGGCTCAATAAGCTCGGCAGGGCCATCTACCATCCCGTGTCATCTTATGCCAGAGTGCGCAGCTCAAGCCTCATTTGACTAAATGCCAATAGATGCAGCTTTGCAGACACACCAAATAATCTGAGCATATTTGAGATCATGAAAAATAAGTTTAGCTCGCTAGCATAATTGTGGCATTGTGTAACTGTCTATTATATTAATTGAGCCATTTGGAAAAGACTGAAACCGGAAATAGACAACTGCTGAAATATTGTTGACTGATAATAATTTTATATAAATACTATGGCTATATATATGGCGGGTAAACATGAAATTAATGGAAATGTGTAGGGCCTTAAGCAACAGAGTCATCAGCTGAAAATCTAACCTTATATGCGTTACCCGATCGTTTTTACTATGTATATTTATATTCCCAAACTTAACTAAATCTGAAAAGTTTTATTCTCTTAAATGAAAGCTTATCCAAGAGATTGGCATCATAACATTTTCGTTTTTAATCATCAATTTTAAGATATATAATATACTATACCATTCATATCTTTTATACCATGAACCCCTTGAAATTGGGAAACGTGGATATAATGTTTTTTTTTTTTTTTTTTTTTTTTTTTTGTAATAATATATATTAGTAATATATGTATTCGAGCTATCCCAAATATCATACTCTGTCGAAGCAAATACCTTTAACAAAGGTTTCCTAAACATTACTCTTCGCAAATTTCTTTCAACTGTTTTCCAAATTTGGAGGTCCTTTTGTAATTTTTTGTGAGCCAATAGCTTGGGCACTTTTTGAAATATTTCATGTTTTTCAAAAACTTTGCTGCGCTAAGTTTCGGCAACATGTTCATTGCTGAGCCCAAAAACTTAGTTGCAATCATGAGCGTGTACAATGTGTGAGTGCGCTTATATACAATGCGGCGATGGCTCGCTAATCTGTGCATGTTCATCTTTCCGGCATTTGCAAAGACGGCAGATCATAACGCATTATAGCACGTAACCTGCCGCAGAGATTGTCGAGTCAGAGGTGGTGGGGTGGGACGGCTGGGGCATGTTGAATGTTGCGTTGCTTTTGCACAATTTGCGATTTTCAACAGCTTGACGATTGATTTCTGGCCCTGGCTTTTGGCTGTGGCTCGGAAACGTTTTCTGGTAAATTGCCTGGCAACGCTTGTTTGGACGCTGCTGAAAGTTTAGACTAATTGTTGCATCAACAAGTGGTGCGCAAATCCACTGCCGACCGCAGCCAAAGCAAATCTATTCGACCACCTGTCGCTCTCTAAGTGGCGCTGGTCTGTGATTCGGTTTGCCTCTTTGGAGCTCAGCATTTTGGCAGTCACGTTTCTGCCACTTGGCACTTGACTGGTTGCCTGGTTGCCTGGTTGCCTGGCTGTGTTTCTTTCTCCCGTTTTTGGCCAAAATTTTACAATTGTTGCTCGCTTTGCTTTGGTCTGTGCATTGATTTCGTTTTGGGCAGCACACAAATTATTTAATCAGCAATGCGGAGCTAAATTCAAAAATGCTCGAATTTGGCGAATTACTAAACTGGAACTAAGGCCAACAACTATGCTAATTGGAAGCAGGCATGCAAATGCTGCATTTTGTATATGGAATGATATATAGATACGGCAAATATGCAATGCCTTAATGAAATACTCGCAGTAATATTGATAGACCCACAGAGGCGTTTCTCTATCTACATATATATGTGTATATATGTATATGTGATCTCCTCTATTCTTGTGTAGCTTTTCTTTGTTTTCTGCTAAGCTAACGTTCTATTTGAGTTGTTGCTGGCCCAAGAACTAGAGTCTGACGCGCCATATACCAGACCTTCATTTCTTCTCGTCTCTACCAATCTTTATATGTGCTTCATTATTTCTCTCCTTCTCACTTAATCGTTGGTATCTTTCACTCGATCTCTTTACATCATTACCTTCTATATTCTACATATCTCTCCCTCTCTCTCTCTCTCTCCTTCTCTCTCTCCCTCTCTCTCTTTCTCTCTCTCTATGTCTCTTTAATTATTTTTTCAGTTTATCTCTCTCCTTGATTCAGTTTCTGTCTCTGTCTGTCGCTCAATCTATCACTCTCTCTTTCTCTTTCATAATCGATCTTGGGCATTCTCACCTTTACTTTATATTATCTGTCTGCTTCTCTTTATATCCCTCCCAAATATAATCCATCGTTATTATCCTCTCTTACACTCCATATAAATCATTCATTATCTATCTTAATATCTCTCTCTCTCCCTCGCTCACTCGCTCTCGCTGCGCAGTTTCTATAATTGCTCAAGTAGCCATAACACTATAACCACTTTAACTTTAATCCACTCTTCAGCTATAACTATATAGCTTTGTTATGAAAATGCTTCAATTTTTAATAATGAATACTAATTAATCTTTTGTTAATTGAGCAGCTCCACAGCGCGTTACACTTAGATGAATTGCTGTTGTTCAATTTGATATAATAACATGCAACTTTCTATGGCTATTGTTTAGCTTTGACCTTTTGGAATAGCCGATTCGACACTCAATTGTGGAATCAATCAAATTTCGAAGTGACGCAGCGATTTCCAGACAAAGCCGTTGCAAAAATCCTAATAATTTTTCCGATTTAGCTGAAAGTGTTTTGGGTTTCGTATGGCGCCGCCCAGGCGCAAGGTTAAGGGTCAAGTTCTGCTAAAGGGCAAGAGTCGAGAGAAAACGCGAGACTCAAATGCAGTTTGACGGGGCCTAAGACAACTACAACAATTGGTGGGAAATATTTTGCAATTGAAGAAATATTGAAGAAAATATTGAATGCTGTTTTCTTCTTTTCTTTTTTGCTGCACTGCTACAAAATTTATTGCCAGATTTATTTATTTCTTTTTTTTTTATAATTTCTTTTTGGTTTTTTCTTCATTTATTTTTTGGCCAAATAAAAAGCCACAAAATCAATAGCTCCGCTGTCCGCCTTGCTGCTCATTTGCGTCAATTTCACTATGGAAATCACTCGCGTCCAACTTGACGGGCGGTTCGTCAAGTCTTCAGCTCGTCAAAGCGCTCGACGCGCCGCGCTGCGCCGTTCGCTTTGCGGTCGTCATTCGCACTAATCAAGTTGGCCAGCCTATTGTATGTGTATGTGAGTGTATATGTATATGCACATGCCTTTGAAAATGGTAATCATCATAAATTGTAATGCCCAGGCCAAGGCACTGGGAAATCTAACGTCTATATTACGACTCCAGCTATAGCCAGCCAGCTAAAGTTAAGCTAAGCCCAATGTACATAAAATAAAGTTGTTTTTTTTTTTTTGTTATGTTTAATTTTTTGTTTCTTTCTGGTATTTTCATTTAGTTTTTTCAACATGGAAATGTGAAGACACACATAAAACGCTTTGCGGAAGCACAAAGTTTACAAAAGTTGTACGATCTAATGTTTCCTCTTTCTTCTACATGCATTTAAACAAATCATCATCAGCTAATCAAATGTGAGTTTACTTATTATAGGAAAAAAACACATCAATCCTAATATTTGTTTTACTCATCATATCGCATATTTTGTGATATTTATGATAGCTGCTCAGATTTCCCATACTTTCCCCTCGGCTAGATCTGCGCTCTATCTTAACTGTCGAGCTATGCAACAGGTACATAGGTGCGAATCGCGTGCAGCTCTAACATCAAACGAATGCAAAAAATGCCTTATAAATATTTTTTAATTACGTCCCATCTAAGCGTGCCTTCGCGGCGGCCGCAGGCAGAGTGTAAAAATGAGTTAACAATCGAGCCAGGCTTTATAAATTAGCCATTAATCAATGCACAAAAACCGAGCTGTCTATATTTATTGCTCATTTTATTGTTTAAAGCGTGGGCAGAAATTGTTTTTTACTTGAATTTTATTTTTCATTTTTGCCTTTTATATATTGTTTATTTGTTATTTTCTGCGAGAGAGGCCAACGGCCAACACACTTATATAACCAACTTGTGAGCCAAATTGAAGCTTCACTTTCGTTTGCGCTGCGCGTGTGTAAAACTGGAAGATCGCAAACTCTGCAAGAGACTCGAAGACTTGGACTGGAGACCGGAGACTGGGTAACCCAGTTCCACTGATAAATGGCAACTCATATGAGTCGCATTGTCCAGTAATTCAAGCTGCCAGCGGGGCATCGCAAGTCGCGCTCTCTGATTAATTTTACGCCCGCTGACCAACGTCACTTTGCATTTTGCATTTTTCATATGCAGCAGCCTTTTTTTAACGGCTGCATTTTGCATTCCTCGCGGTGCATTGCACAAGCAACTGAACACCGTCTAGTGGCATCCGTGAGCCACGCACTATTAAGCAGCTGCCACCGAGTCATTTGTCTTTGGGGAGAGCTGAAAACCTGCCCCAAAAAGTTGCGAGTTGTTTTTTTTTTCTTCTTCTTCTTTTCTTCTGTTATTGTTATCTCTGGTGAATAACGCAATCGCTGGAAGTCTGTGCAAATTCGTTGTTTGTTTGCTTATGGTTTATGTAGGCCAGCATAAATATTAATATTGTTTTGTAAGCCGGGCGTCATAAAATGCAGCAATACCATAAATTGCAATAAAATATCATCATAACTTTTAGTGGCTATAAAATCTATTTCACGACCCAGTCTCAGTTAACGCCCAATCACGCGATTGATTGCTTGACGAAAGTGTAAAAACGGGCTCAGCCCAATCGGACGCATCGTTCGTCTCGAGCTATTTAAGTATGGATGTATGGATACTTAAACTGAAATTTATTGTCAGCTGTAAACAGTCTATATAGAAATGCTGATGGGCTTTGCTTGAGATTCATATTTTTATTGCATAAATAAACATTAAGTGATAACATCTGATGCTTGCCTACACAAATTTTTGATCGTGAAACAATAGATGGCTATATAGAAGTAACAATGGAATGGCCA